ATTTAATTTATCTGTTTAAAATTATTTCTTTTACTGTTGTATACCACATCAATTACTAGAAGCATGTATTAGGCAAGTGAGCATTTATTACTTACAATTTTTGTGAACAGCAGGGGCAAATTTTGCCCCAGTTGTTTTGTTGCTGCATATCTACATTGTTGATATTGCTTTTAAAAATTTAAACCTTGATCCACGTTTTTGACTCTTAAGAGGTACAGTGGTACATCGGGTTACAGACGCTTCAGGTTACAGACTCCACTAACCCAGAAATAGTACCTCAGGTTAAGAACTTTGCTTCAGGATGAGAACAGAAATTGCGCTGCGGCGGCAGCAGGAGGCCCCATTAGCTAAAGTGGTGCTTCAGGTTAAGAACAGTTTCAGGTTAAGAACGGACCTCCAGAACGAATTAAGTTCTGAACCCGAGGTACCACTGTATACTAATATGTTCAGATAATTGTTTTAAATTCTGTCTAAAACAATTGCATTATTAGTCTTTGGAAATGTTTTAAGAGCACAGTTAATATATGGTTTATTTCTTTATTCAAATCCTGAGATCCATCAGCTGGAGTTAGATGCAAAATAATGGCTAGAATTAGCAGAACATAAGAAACAAATGTTAGACAATATTTTTTGATTAATTAATGTGTTAAGAATGGAGCCCTGCCAGAAGATGTTCACTTTTACAGGCATCACTTAAAAGCCAATAAATATTGCCAGATTCAATAGATCACTTTCCCAAGTAAAAAAATTCTCAGGTTGTGTATTCATTATTGCCAGTGTATCAAGTGTGAATGCTTGTATTATTAAGTATTCTTGCAGATACTGTGTATCAATGGAAAGATAATGAGGAATGTAATGCAATGAAGTTTGTTCAATTATCTGTATTCTATCAAAAGCTATAGGCAAATAACCAGAAAAAGGAGTGTTGAGAGCCAATCAGGTGTCATCTTGTTTCGACAATACACCTCATAACACCACTTTTTTTGGAGTAATACTACAAAATTGTATATCAGTGGAAAGATAATCTAGTGAAGAATGTAATGTAATAATTTTTATGAAAGATTATTTATTACAACATAAATAAGGAGGACATTTGTCAGTGTGTTATATGATTGCTATTAAGTTGGTTGGGGTTTTTTGTTCTTTCATTTAGTGAGCTTGTAAAACGTAATAAAATTAAAGAAATGGTGCAAAGAGTTGACTGGTCACCCAGAAAGTGATGTAAAATAGTAATTTTAAGTGAACAAGGCTACAGTTATGAAGAAATTAGAAGAAAAATCAGTGGAAACTTAACCAAAGGTGGCATTTCTAAATTTTTGAAGCGGTATAAGGAGACTCAGTCACTACAAAATCAGACTGGTAAAGGCAGGAAAAGGTGCACAACAGCAAGTGACGATAGAAGAATTGAGAAACTGTGCCTACGTGACAGAAGAAAATCATCTGGATGTATACAAGGTGACATGGCACAATGTAATGTGAAGTTGAGTGCAAGGACTGTTTGGCTCAGACTGCAGGAATATGGTCTAAATGCTAAAATTCCAAGGGAAAAGCCATTGTTATCTCTCAAACAAAGGTTGAAAAGATTAAACTGGGCTAAAACCCATGTTAACTGGACAGTGGAACAATGGGACAGTGTTATTTGGAGTGATGAGACCCAAATCTCCTTGCTTGGTAGTGATGGCATGTAATACGTGTGGGGGAGTATCAGAGAAGATTTACATTCTACTTGCCTTGCACCTACCATGAAACACCCAGTTAGTGTTATGATCTGGGGTTGTATGACAGCAAAAGGTGTGGGCAGAAATTGTGTCAATGGGAATATAAATGCCCAAAAATACATAGCCCAGACATTAACCCAGTCAAAATGGAGCTGACTAAAGAAGCTTGTTAGTCAGAAGCAACCTAGCAATAAAACCCAATTAATAGAGGCAATAATTCAATCTTAGTTTCCCATTATTACAGCTGCAGAACTAAAAAACTTGGTTCACTCCATGGGAAGGCTAAAGGTTACCCAACTAAGTATTAACTGACATGGTGAGAATTTTTGTATATCTCATTTTTTCTTTGTGTTCCACGTTTCTTCTTTATGAATGTTGTTGTAATAAAAAAATCCTTCATAAAAATTATTGCATTACGTTCTTTATTAAATTATCTTTCCATGGATATATAATTTTATGGTATTACTCCAAAAAAGGTGGGTTTATGAGCCATCATTGCCAAAACCAGATGACACCTGATTGGCTCTCTAAATACTAGTGTATGTAACTCTTGAAAGGGGTGTGTGCATATAGAGAAAGAGAACCATACCTCTGAAGAGACTGAAATCTTTGAACACTGCATTTTTACTTGAAAGTCTTAATGCTGCTGATTGAATAACCAAAAGCTGATGAAAAATTACATTGCCTCAAACTATCATTGTTGGGTCCAAAGACAAAAAAAACAAAACTTGTATTACTTCCAGTACCGGGGACAGTATTACTAGTTGCTGAGGAACAGGAGTGGAAGAGGATCATGTCCTGCTTTGGTAATAAAATGCTGGAGTAGATAAATAGGCCTTATATTTCTTGCTTAAATATGCAAGTGTATGGCTCAAATTAGTCAAGTAATGTTAATAACACCTGAAAAAGGCCTTGCGAAATTGGGAGGCTGATTATCTCTCATATATATATATATATATATATATATGCTTTCGTAGATTTTCACGGGTACAGGAATGCAGGTTTTGGTGTTCTCGGGTGTCTTCCCGTGTAAAAGTTGGGGTGTCTAGGCGACGTTTCGACGAGGTCTCACTCGTCATCTTCAGGCTGGTGCTTTCGGCTTCTTGTTACTGGAACAGAGCAGGATCTCAGTGTTTGAGTTCCTATAAATACTGTTGAGGAGGTGTGGTGTATAGCCTCCAATGTTCTGGGCAGAGAGGAGGTTCCCAGGCTAGTGTGCCTTTTCTTCTTTTGTTCCTTAATTACTTGAGGGATATCTTGAGTTATATCACTCAAGAAATCACTCAAGATATCCCTCAAGTAATTAAGGAACAAAAGAAGAAAAGGCACACTAGCCTGGGAACCTCCTCTCTGCCCAGAACATTGGAGGCTATACACCACACCTCCTCAACAGTATTTATAGGAACTCAAACACTGAGATCCTGCTCTGTTCCAGTAACAAGAAGCCGAAAGCACCAGCCTGAAGATGACGAGTGAGACCTCGTCGAAACGTCGCCTAGACACCCCAACTTTTACACGGGAAGACACCCGAGAACACCAAAACCTGCATATATATATATATATATATATATATATATATGTGTGTGTGTGTGTGTGTGTGTGTGTGTGTGTGTGTGTGTGTGTGTGTAATGTCCAGTAGCGCCTTAGAGACCAACTAAGTTTGTTTCGGAGGCTGATGTTTGAGATACTGAGTGAAAACATTGAATGTGGCTTTTTAAAAAAGCATAAAGTGGTTAATTAAAATTGGCATCCTCCTAAAGTTCCTCATGGATACAGTGGTACCTCGGGTTAAGTACTTAATTGGTTCCAGAGGTCTGTTCTTAACCTGAAACTGTTCTTAACCTGAAGCATCACTTTAGCTAATGGGGCCTCCTGCTGCCGCTACGCCGCCGCACGATTTCTGTTCTCATCCTGAAGCAAAGTTCTTAACCTGAGGTACTATTTCTGGATTAGCGGAGTCTGTAACCTGAAGCGTCTGTAACCTGAAGCGTATGTAACCCGAGGTACCACTGTATTTCTATTAATACTCTTTTTAAAACAGAAAAACTAACTATCTTTCTTTGTGACTCTTAACACAATATTTCAGATGAACAAGATAGAACAAACAATGCAATCTGTGCACTGAGTTGGGGCTGTAAATTATCAGGGCCATGGGCATAGCCAGGGTTTTTGTTGGGGGAAGGCCGAACCTCAGTTTGCTATGTGTTTTAATTTATTTTCATTGATGGGGGGAGCTGCCTCTCCCAGCTCCCCCTTGGGTATGCCTATGATCAGGGCCATCCAGAAACTGGTACCCCTTTCCTGCAAGACTGTTAGTAAAGGATCTAGTTACAGGCAAGTAGTCGAAACAAAATTAAGGTGCTACTGGAAGGAATTTTTTTATTTTGTTAGTAAAGGAGTATAATTCAGCAGCAATCAAAGGCTTCAGACCTGAGCACACTTAACTAGGGAATAAAGGTAAAGGTACCCTTGCCCATATGGGCCAGTCGTGTCTGACTCTAGGGTTGCGCGCTCATCTCACTTAAGAGGCCAGGGGCCAGCGCTGTCCGGAGACACTTCCGGGTCACGTGGCCAGCGTGACTAAGCTGCATCTGGCGAGCCAGCGCAGCGCATGGAAACGCCGTTTACCTTCCCGCTAGAGAGCGGTACCTATTTATCTACTTGCACTTAAGGGTGCTTTCGAACTGCTAGGTGGGCAGGAGCTGCGACCAAACGACGGGAGCTCACCCCGCCGCGGGGATTCGAACCGCCGACCTTACGATCAGCAAGTACTAGGCACTGAGGTTTTACCCACAGCGCCACCTGCGTCCCTAACTAGGGAATAAGTACTACTAAATTCAGAATTTATGAGTAAATATATTTAGGATTGTTTTATGTAACACTTTTATTTAAGCTAGTTTCAGAAACATTCTGAAGAAATTGGAGTTTTATTTGCTGTGGTAGTTCAGTAGCTTTATTACTAAGATTAAAAGCAGATTGCTAGCTTTTTGGTTTCACAAAACCTGGTTTTGTTTGACTGGTATGGAACTGACAAAACAAACCCGGCCCTTACAAAATAATTTTAAAAAATTAAGTCTAGTAGCACCTTAGAGACCAGCTAAGTTTGTTCTAGGTATGAGCTTTGTAATTCCTGCCCTTACAGTAAGTAATTCCTGCCCTCATTCTCTTGGGCTACTTTATGTTCTGGTATTTGCAAGCTAACTCATTCCGCAGAGAAGCTGTGTTCCACTCCGGAATTTGCCTTTTCTCCCCGTTTCTTGAGACGAAGCTCTTTAGGATATCTGCTGCTTTCCGATACTGGGAGACTGTAGTACAGTATGCTGATTGCAGGCGAGGAACGTGTTTGTCTAGGAGTCGGATTACGCTGAGGCATCCAGCGATTGGTGGCAACGGGGAATTATTATTATTTTCAGCATCGTTCTTCCTTTTGGGCGACAGTAGATTGCAAGGATAATACAGGGCCGGCGCTTCATTTAGTATATTAAGCGGACGAGATATAATCGGATTTGCTCTGCAAAAAGGGCACAATATGCGGACGGGCAATCTTCTGTAAACAATAAAACCGAGGAGGGCGGCTGCTGCTCCTCCCCTCGCTAATCCTCTCCGGCGCTGCTTCCAGAGATCTGCGGGAGGAAAGCTCGCTCTGCTCCCTCCCGACCGCCCCGGCTTGGATTTGGGGTGGTGATGGTGGGCGCGCGTGGCCGGGAGGCAGGAGAGAAAGGGAGGCTCCGTGGGGCGCCTGTTTCATAGGCGGGCGCTGTCGACATGGAGCGATGCCGTTACCTCCCCAGGCAGCCGAGCCGGAGGAGGGAAGGGCAGCCGGAGCCGCCGTGCCTCCCGAAGTGACTGCAGGCGGAGGAGATCGCCGCCGGAGGAGAGGCAGGGACAAAGGACCTGGCCTCGGTTAGTCCCCCGCGGCGGGACTGGAGATGTACCTCCTGGACAGCAGCGACCCGACCTCCGCCCCTTCCTCCCCGGGCGCCGCGGAGCGGGGGACCCCCCAGCGGAGAACGGTCTACCGCATCTCGGTGACCCTAGTGAAGAAGGAGCCTCTCGGCTCGGCCGCCGTGCCCCGCGATGGCTTCCTCCAGGAGCAGCAGCAGGAGAGCGCCGGGGCTGCCGCCGGGCACGCTTTCCGCAGCTCGCGGGCCCTCAGCACCGGGCAGCTGGAGCTGGGCCGCCTGAAGGTGACCAGGCGAGCCGGGCTGGGCTTCAGGTGGCCGCCGGCAGAGGCGCGCGGGAAGAAGGACTCGGCGCCCGAGGGGGCTGCCCGGCGTCCCCTGCGGGGCTCGCAGCAGCAGCAGGAGGAGGAGGCCGGCCCCGCGGGGCTCCCGAGACACTCGCCCGCCGAGGAAGCGGCCCCCGGCGGCCTGGACCCCGCGCGGCGGGCAGCGGCGGCGGCTCCGCTGCGCCGGAGCTGCAGTTTCCGGCACTGGAGCGGCGGGGAGGCGCTGCGGCTGCGCGCCTTGGCGCGGACCAAGCGCCACAGCAGCTCGGGCTGCCTCTCTCTGCCGGCCGGCGGCGCGGGAAGGTCGCTGAGCGCCGGCAGGCGCCCCCCGCGGGCGGGGGCCGAGGCGGGCGGGGGCCCGAAGAGCCCGGCCGGCGAGCTGCAGGTGCTTTCGGAGCGGCTGGGGGCCTGGGAGAGTTCGGCCGGGAGCGTCGCCTCTTCGCCCGAGCGCCGCCTGCTGCGCTTCTTCAGCGGGGTCTTCTCGCCCTTCGGGAGCCCCCTGGGCAGGTCTCCCCGGGCCCGGGCGGGGAGCAGCAGCAGCCTCCAGAGAAGCGCCCGCGCGCAGTCCAGCACCGAGAGCCTCGCGGAGCCCCTGAGCAGAGGTGCCTCCTGGGTTGGGCGGGGACGGGGGCTGGGCGAAGGGGGCGGGCAGCACTCGGGCGAAATGCTGACCCGAAAGGGATGCCCTTTCTCGCATGGGCATTCCTGCACCGTTCCATAAATCTGCACTAGTCGTTGAGCTTGGCTCCTCAGTGTTGGGTCTTTCTATTGGAGAGCAGGAGAAGAGCCTCTTGGTGTCTTTATATAGGTTACTAGGTCAGTGAATCCCCACAGTAGCATGCACACCCTTTGTCTTTGTCAAGTATTGCTTTTCTTTTCTTTTCTTTTCTTTTCTCTCCCCCACCCTCACACATTTTTTGGCAGAATCCTGCTCTCCTTGTGGTTGTTAATGTTGCTGTTGTTGTTGTTGTTGTTGTTGGTGGTAGTTCAGTAGGACACTCCTAAAGGGCACTGTAGGTTGTTTTAACTTGTTGGAATAATGTTAAATTTTATGCCAGTGTGAGGAATGCTAAGTGTGTATGCGCAAACAGTGCAAGGTGCTTTCAAAGCCTATTTTAGACCTTGTATAAATTGTATTGGGATGAACACTTGTTCTCAAAGGCAAGTAGGGTCCTAGTAACACAATGCAATATTGGGACAAAATGGAACTGGTTGCAGGTGATAAGCTAAATTAGTGACATTCATAAAACTGCTGATTTCTTCTGAATGGCTCAGTGAATGTTTGTGAAGTATACAGAGAACACTGGTTGGTACCCTCTTCTGCATCCCATTACGCTAGAAGCTACAGCAAAGCTCCTTTTGCTCATCAAATATTTAAGCCAGCAAAGATGAAGGTGGCAATCTTTGTTGAGAGTAGTGACCTATTGCAGTGCAGGTGCATAGCCCTAGACATAGGAAGAAAAAACTGGAGGCACTGTATGTAGTACATGTGATACAGTACTGATGTTTCATCTAGATAAACAGACATAGGCCTGGTTTATAAGTTCCACTGTGTTCCATCAGTGTGGCTTATTTCCTGGAAAAGGAGTATAGATTTGCACTTTAGAATCTCCAGATTGGAATGAACTAGGCTCTGTTTTTTAGATGAAATGTAATAAAGGGAATAGCTCTGTCAGTAAATATAATGAAACAGAGGAAAGGGCTATGGAATTAAACATCTCTTTTAAATGGGAGCAGGGTTGGGGAATGTGAAAGCAGCAACTCAGTGGGAAATCATTAACATGTTATTAATTATTCCCTGAGTTTTAACTTAAATTTACTCCAGTATGATTATTTCATTCATTGCTTTTATTTATGTAATGTGCATCATGCTTTCCCTTCAAAAAATGGACAGTGGCATTTCTGTTCACTAATTATGCCAAGTAGATTAAAAAGTGACTTTCCCAATAAATGGGGGAGTAGAAGAATTAGAACTTGGATAGGGGAGACTTGAGTACAAATTCAAGGGGTTGTATCCAACAAAGCGATACCATGTGCACAAGGACTGCTACTTATGCAGTGGAACTTTCCTTTATATGTGTCCCCCTGTGTACCCCCCCCCAAATGGTTTTCTTCTTGGAATGCAGTTGGCTGGCAGTGGGACAAGGGATGAACAGAGCGAGCTCATGGGAAGTGGTCCTTTTAATTATTGGCAGCACAGTTAAGAGAGAGCCTTGCATCTTCACTGGGGAGGTAAAGGAGGCAAAGAAGACATGTTTAACTGAAATCCCATCCTGCAAATTTGAATATGGGCTATTGAGTAGCTTTGTCAAGGGATGTTTGATTGACTGTCACATAGGCCATGTGGGAAGACTCTAGAGAGGGATGGAGTTCTGATTTGGTCCAAAAGGTTGGCTTCCCAAACTCTGGCCTGGTAGAGGATGCTGGTGTACAATCAGCAGTCTTAAACTGCACTTGTGATTGCAGTTTGGAAGGGAAGGCATCCTGAATCATAACAATCACAATGTTATTATTTACATGCCACCCAGCTGACTGGGTTGCTCCAGCCATTCTGGGCAGCTCCCAACAAAATTTTAAAAGCACAATAAAACCTCAACATCAGAAACTGTACAGGGCTGCCTTCAGATGTTTTCTAAAAGTCATATAGTTGCTTATCTGTTTAACATCTGATGGGAGGGCATTTCACAGGGTGGGCACCACTACCAGACAGAGTGCATCCAGTTCTCAGCCATCGTACCAGATTGATCTGGTTGACAGCTGCCCCAGACACAGAAATATCCTGCACTTCCATGGACACCTGTGAGTCTAAAATGATCCCATGGCTGCACACCTGCTTCTTTAGTTACCTGGTTGAGGACTAGGGAGCCCCCCCCCCCCGCAACCTGCCTGTCCCCCAGAAACTGTACTTGTCAGGATTCAACCTCAACCCATTTTCATGTCTGACATTTGTGTGTGTGTGTGTGTGTGTGTGTGTGTGTGTGTATATATATATATATTTGCTGGAAACTGCCCAGAGTGTCTGGGGAAGCCCAGCCAGATGAGGGGGGGTATAAACAATAAAATAATTATTATTTTAATTATAATAACTGCCACCCCACTGAAGAAGTGGAGAAGCCTCCAGACACTCAAAGAGGACATTCACTGCCTTCACTGGTTCCAATTTAAACAAGAGGAAGAACTGGAGATCATCTGCATAATAGTGAACACCCAGTCCAAACCCCTGGTGATCTCCCCCAGCGGGCTTCATATAGATGATGCAAAGCATGGGGGAGAGGATGGAGACCTGAGTGCCGAGGGGTCTGAACACTCACCCCTCAACACCACTTTTTTGCCATGGCCCAGGAGGAAGGATCAGAACCACTGTATAACAGTTCTCCGAACTCACAACCCTCCTAGATGGTCCAGAACGATCTACTTCTTCTGGGACTGTCCAGTCTATTGTATCAAGGGCGAGGCTGTTATTTGATGCTACAGTCGCTTGGTTTGAGAGCTTGGATTTTTCTTGTGTGATTTCCCGGGTAGCTGGCTGCGGTTTCTCCCATCTACTGGGTTCTTCCACGGGAGTAGGGCAGATGTCGGCTTCTGGTAGAATGGCCTTATTCATCTTGTTCTGTCTTTTAGATGCAATCAATGGTCTGAGTGATATATCTTCAAAGTGTCGACGCGGAATAATTCCTTTCTGGGCTAAATAAGCCTTTACCCTTAGGATTTTGGTTGGAATTCTATGACTACCAAATTTTAGTAGTACTTTTTTGGAATATCCATCGTTAGTGAGCCTCTTGACTGCTTTTAGGTCGATGCTTCCACCCTCAAGGCCTCAATGCAACCCAAAAATGGCTACAATTATTCGACTCAATTCAGAGTAAAAACAACAAAGTGTTCTGGAACCTAGTGTACGGAGGATTGAAAGCCGAAAACCAACTAACTCTACCACCAATTGCAGAATCCAAATGGTCCCAATACTTCACATCTGTATTTAACAATCTACACAGTGAACTCAAAGGAAATGAGACCACTAAAAATAAAATCAATAAACTCCAGGAGTGGCCAAGGGTAGAAGAAGAGGAAATTAGAGAGATAGTTAAAAATTTCAAATCGGGGAAATCTCCTGGGCCAGACGGTCTACCAATAGAATTATTCAAGACCTATATAGATTGGTGGGCAGAACCCTTAGCTCAATTGTTTACTCTCATAGATAAATATGGGATCATACCTGAGATATGGTTAAGATCAATAATTATCCCAATCTTTAAAAATGGCGACCCAAAAGAACCAAGGAATTACAGACCGATAAGCCTATTATCAGTGATAGGGAAAATCTACGCTAAGCACCTTTTATCTAAACTCCTTACCTGGATGAAAAATCTAAATTTACCAGGAAAAGAACAAATAGGTTTCTCCAAAGGTTGCTCTACATTAGACCACTGCCTTATACTTATGCATTTGGTTGAAAAATATAGATCCCAAAGGCAATCTAAGATATATGCTGCTTTTGTAGACTTTCGTGGTGCATTCGACTCAATTGACCGCCCAAAGCTGTGGAGGAAACTCGCAGAATTAAAAATTGATCAGCGCTTATTGATTCTAATACAAAATCTATACTCTTCCAATACCTGTCAAGTCAAACTTAACACCAAAGGTCACCTTTCATCAGACATCCCAAACTCGAAAGGGGTAAAACAAGGGTGTATTCTCGCTCCCTTTCTATTTAATTTATTTTTATCAGACTTGCCAGATCACCTCCAAAAAATAGAATCACATGCCCCTAAACTTAATCAGAAACCAGTTCCTCTCTTATTATACGCAGACGATGCTGTCCTACTATCATTAACGAGCTTGGGTCTGAAACGTCTTATATCTTCTCTGATCCTTTACTGCGAATGTAACAAACTCTCTATAAATTATGAGAAGACAAAAATTTTGGTCTTCTCGAATGGTTGGAAATTAGAGAAATGGAAAATAAGAGGGCAAGAAATCCAACAAGTGAAAATCTATAGGTATCTGGGAATCTTATTCCAGAGCAATTTAGGGTGGGCAAATCATCGCACAAATGCCATAAAACAGGCAAAGTGTACCTCATCAGCAGTTGCCCGTTTTTATTTTCAGAAAGGTAATCAATTTATTCCTGCGGCCAATCAGATATTTCAAACAAAAGTGCAATCCCAGATATTCTATGGAATCCCGCTATGGGTCCAAGCATATAACAGTGATTTAAAAAAGATTCACTCCAGCTTTCTGAGACGTATTCTTGGACTCCCAGCTGTGATCAAATATGAAACAATGTGTGCAGAAATAGGCATACACACAATGGAATATTGGGCCTGGTCCACCTCAATAAAGTACTGGTTACGCTGCCATTTTCGCTGCCCTCCATCAAGTCTGCTCGCTGATTTGCTCAAAGACTCCTATAAATCAAGATGGTATCAGTACCTCGAAAAAAAGATTGAATCTTTAGGCATCGAGCTGGAGCCCCTGTACAATTCTAATGAGCAATACATTTTCCATAATATCCTAATTAGACTAAAGGATGTCGAGAGACAAAATATTATGGCAGCTGTAAACAAAATTTGCTCCCCCATATTCTATGATTTAAATATCTTAG